TTCCGTGTCGCAGTTTAAATCCACACAATCGAAGACCTCGCGAGAACAAATAACGAGACCTAACGCAGACCTAACCTAGACCTAACGTAGACCTATCATAGACCTAATCTGTCATTCTTTTTCTCTTATATATAATACGCGCGACGTTAAAATGCTGAAAAAATGTCTGGCTGAAAAATCTGAAGAGGTCCCCCTCATCTCTCAACGAGCTCACCCTAATCAAAAGTGGTCCGCGGGGACAGATTGTGGGGCGTGCAGAAATAAATCAGCCCTTTGTTTTACGGCTCTAAAACGGCCGTTGGGGGATTTAGAACGCGAAGTTATGCCCATTCAATCGTACGCCCCAGCTGCGAGAACCAAAAAGGCACGGCGGGTCATTCGAAAACCACGTAATCATAGCAACTTATTATCTGAAATCAAAGATGACGGAGACAGCGAGATCCCTGGCGTTGCGATTGTCTTCGTAGAGTATGTAATATTATAATACTATAATATATTATTATTATTATTATTATATTATATTACATTACATTACATTGCATTACATTGCATTAAATTGCATTAAATTACATTGTATTTAATTGCGTTACATTGCGTTACATTGCGTTACATTGCGTTACATTGTGTTGCATTGCGTTACACTGCATTCCACTGCATTCCATTTATATTCCATTAAATTCCATTTACAATCCACCAATCTACATTCCATCGTTACATTGCATTACATTACATTACATTACAAATTCCATGATTAACAACAACCACTTTTTCAGAGACGACTTCGCTTCGTTCAAGCGTTGACGAAATAATCGCGCGGACAGCTCATCAGACTCCCGATGGAAAAGGGTTTAAGCTGCTCGCTGTGGCAGAACTGATTCGAATAAATCGTCTCTAGATGCCGTCTCTGATGAGAAACGCACAGATTTCCTGTCACCGTTTCTCGCGATGCCGAGTCGCATCTGTCAGTCGTCGCTCGCCGCTGCAGTTATTTATCCAAATCAAATGTCACGTCGATCCACTTCGACTATTTTACGTCTATTTCCATGGCTACGTCAGTGTATTTTCACCCGTAGAACCACAATCCTATCATCTGTCAACGAAAAGTGCCAACAAGTCCTTTGACCATAGTTATATAATTATGCGTCGCACTGGTCACTGACCAAGATAACTACGCCTCGATAATTTATTTTTATTCGGCGTCCGCAGACCGCAGAGATGAGCGCGGCGTATCGCAGTCCGCAGGCAATTTTCATTACGCGAAATCATCGACACGGCAAGTTCCTTCGAAAACCAGCACCGAAGTCGTGAGTTGATTTCTCGGAAATTTGTTAGTAAACAGCCTGTTAATTGGTGGACCATCTATTGGTTTCATTCGAAAATTCCTGCAGAGAAATATCGAATTTTGGTTCGACATTTGAAGAAATATTAAAAGATTTGGTCCCGTCTATTGTTTAAAACAAAAATTGTACAATTAACTAGGAGATTTGCTCTTCTGAACGAAGCATTAAATATTGAAAAATAATAAATGCTTCCCAATTTTTCAGCATTTAAAAAAAATCTTGTCTGATTAACCAGGCAGTTCGCCCTTTTCAATGGAGCATTAAACTTTGAAAAAATATTAAACGATTTGGTCCCGTCCAGTATTTAAAACCAAAAATTGTACAATTAACTAAGAGATTTGCTGTTTCGAACGAAGAATTAAATATAGAAAAATAATAAATGCTTCCCAATTTTTCAGCATTTTAAAAAAATATTTTCTGATTAACCAGGCAGTTCGCCCTCTTCAATAGAGCATTAAACATTGAAAAAATATTAAACGATTTGGTTCCGTCTATTGTTTAAAACAAAAATTGTACAATTAACTAGGAGATTTGCTCTTCTGAACGAAGCATTAAATATTGAAAAATAATAAATGCTTCCCAATTTTTCAGCATTTAAAAAAAATCTTGTCTGATTAACCAGGCAGTTCGCCCTTTTCAATGGAGCATTAAACTTTGAAAGAATATTAAACGATTTGGACCCGTCTATTATTTAAAACCAAAACTTGTATAATTAACTAGGAGATTTGCTCTTCTGAACGATGCATTAAATATTGAAAAATAATAAATGCTTCCCAATTTTTCAGCATTTTAAAAAAATATTTTCCGATTAACCAGGAGGTTCGCCCTTTTCAATAGAGCAATAAACTTTGAAAAAATATTAAACGATTTGGTCCCGTCCATTATTTAAAACCAAAAATTGTACAATTAACTAAGAGATTTGCTGTTTCGAACGAAGAATTAAATATAGAAAAATAATAAATGCTTCCCAATTTTTCAGCATTTTAAAAAAATATTTTCCGATTAACCAGGAGGTTCGCCCTTTTCAATAGAGCAATAAACTTTGAAAAAATATTAAACGATTTGGTCCCGTCCATTATTTAAAACCAAAAATTGTACAATTAACTAAGAGATTTGCTGTTTCGAACGAAGAATTAAATATAGAAAAATAATAAATGCTTCCCAATTTTTCAGCATTTTAAAAAAATATTTTCTGATTAACCAGGCAGTTCGCCCTCTTCAATAGAGCATTAAACATTGAAAAAATATTAAACGATTTGGTTCCGTCTATTGTTTAAAACAAAAATTGTACAATTAACTAGGAGATTTGCTCTTCTGAACGATGCATTAAATATTGAAAAATAATAAATGCTTCCCAATTTTTCAGCATTTTAAAAAAATCTTGTCTGATTAACCAGGCAGTTCGCCCTTTTCAATGGAGCATTAAACTTTGAAAGAATATTAAACGATTTGGACCCGTCTATTATTTAAAACCAAAACTTGTATAATTAACTAGGAGATTTGCTCTTCTGAACGATGCATTAAATATTGAAAAATAATAAATGCTTCCCAATTTTTCAGCATTTTAAAAAAATCTTGTCTGATTAACCAGGCAGTTCGCCCTTTTCAATGGAGCATTAAACTTTGAAAGAATATTAAACGATTTGGACCCGTCTATTATTTAAAACCAAAACTTGTATAATTAACTAGGAGATTTGCTCTTCTGAACGATGCATTAAATATTGAAAAATAATAAATGCTTCCCAATTTTTCAGCATTTTAAAAAAATCTTGTCTGATTAACCAGGCAGTTCGCCCTTTTCAATGGAGCATTAAACTTTGAAAGAATATTAAACGATTTGGACCCGTCTATTATTTAAAACCAAAACTTGTATAATTAACTAGGAGATTTGCTCTTCTGAACGATGCATTAAATATTGAAAAATAATAAATGCTTCCCAATTTTTCAGCATTTTAAAAAAATATTTTCCGATTAACCAGGAGGTTCGCCCTTTTCAATAGAGCAATAAACTTTGAAAAAATATTAAACGATTTGGTCCCGTCCATTATTTAAAACCAAAAATTGTACAATTAACTAAGAGATTTGCTGTTTCGAACGAAGAATTAAATATAGAAAAATAATAAATGCTTCCCAATTTTTCAGCATTTAGAAAAGATCTTGTCTGATTAACCAGGCAGTTCGCCTTTTTCAATGGAGCATTAAACTTTGAAAAAATATTAAACGATTTGGTCCCGTCTATTATTTAAAACAAAAATTGTACAATTAACTAGGAGATTTGCTCTTCTCAACGAAGCATTAAACTTTGAAAAACAATAAATGCTTCCCAACTTTCCAGCATTTAAAAAAAGTCTTGTCTGTTTAACCAGAAAAATATTAAACGGGTCTACAATTTCACAAGAAAACGGCGTTCCATTCGGCAGGAATTACGGAAAGGAAGCGAACGGACGAGCATAAATATCTGCGAGGATGAGCACGGCCCCGATAGCTTCGAGTGCCGGCCGATAAAGTATCGACGAGTGGCTGAAGGCGCAGCGCCGAAGAATGCCCGATAATATATTATTATTGCGCGGGCGCGGGTCAATAATCGTGCACGTTGCCTGGCGACGACTCGGCTCCTGCTCCAGCATCCGGAGTTTCTTCTTCTGCGACTACTCCTGCAGCCGGCGGCTCGCAGAACTCGGGCAGCCTCCGTCGCATCCTGATCGGACCGGTTCCATCTAATCCGGCCAACGAACGCCCAGCTTCTCCTAAGGTGAGCCCGCTCGTCCACGCCTCGCGGAGATCCGCAGTGTTCGCGACGCATCCGCGACCGCAGCCGACTTCGTCCGAAATTTCCAATAATTTCGTACGCGTTGATAAAAATGCGCGAGGCCTCGCGTTGTCGCGATGGGACACGATTCCTTTGCGATTCGATTTTTAAGTGAAAAATCTTCGGAACGAAATTTCTTGAACCAATTCTGACGCGCGAGCCTCTATGAAAATAAGAGGCAATAAATTTATGATAACTTCAACTAATGATATAATTATAAAAATTGTGTTATGTTAATTTCAATAAATATTTTAATTTTTATTATTTAAACAAAATTTTTACACCACTAAATTATATAATATTATATTAATTACCCTTACAATTATCATACTAATTTTTTAATTATTTTATTAATCAAAAATCTATATATTATTATACATATAACCTTTATCTTCGCAATTAGAGGAATTATGATTATATTTTTATATTTTACAAGATTCATTGATAATTTTCATTGTAAAGATTATAAACTTAATCAAAGCTATATATTTATTTAATTTTAACGACTTTTATAATCATAATATTTTTTTAATAAATTATACAGATAATTATAAAATTATTAAAATTTATATTTTTCCTTCATCCCTTTTAACATTTACAATAATAATAATAATAATATTCATTTGTGCACTGCGTGTTAAAATTCAGAGCAAACTATCACAGTTGCGAACCGAAGCTGAAGACAAAAAGAATAATAACGTTAACAAAAGAATAACAATGCAAACGTAACGCTGTCTATTCGTGCGAACCGAAATTGCTTTCTTGCCATAACCCAATAACCGCGGAAGGTGCCCCGGCGAACGGCGTCTCGCGCCGCGCCGCTCGCAGTCGCGTTCGCTCGGACCTCGGCGACAGAGGTCGCGCGATCTGCGCCCGGGTCAATCGCAGCACGGATTCGCGATAATTACCGCGTCCAGTGTCGGTCTGACTCGGGTCTGACCGGATCCGCGGCGTCGTCGATCGCGAAGAGACTTAGTACACATTCGTTCCGAGTCGGAGTCATTTTTTCGAACGGATTTTTCACGTCGCCGGTGGTCGGGTCATTGTTGTCCGTTTTCGCAGTCCTTTTGAATGGTCCGGCGAGCATGCGGTGGAAAATTCGAGGTGGAAACGGCGACCAGGCTTGCGCCGATACGAGGAGGGGGAGCGGCGAACGGGGTGAACGAAGGGAACATCAGGGANAATTAACTAGGAGATTTGCTCTTCTGAACGATGCATTAAATATTGAAAAATAATAAATGCTTCCCAATTTTTCAGCATTTTAAAAAAATATTTTCCGATTAACCAGGAGGTTCGCCCTTTTCAATAGAGCAATAAACTTTGAAAAAATATTAAACGATTTGGTCCCGTCCATTATTTAAAACCAAAAATTGTACAATTAACTAAGAGATTTGCTGTTTCGAACGAAGAATTAAATATAGAAAAATAATAAATGCTTCCCAATTTTTCAGCATTTAGAAAAGATCTTGTCTGATTAACCAGGCAGTTCGCCTTTTTCAATGGAGCATTAAACTTTGAAAAAATATTAAACGATTTGGTCCCGTCTATTATTTAAAACAAAAATTGTACAATTAACTAGGAGATTTGCTCTTCTCAACGAAGCATTAAACTTTGAAAAACAATAAATGCTTCCCAACTTTCCAGCATTTAAAAAAAGTCTTGTCTGTTTAACCAGAAAAATATTAAACGGGTCTACAATTTCACAAGAAAACGGCGTTCCATTCGGCAGGAATTACGGAAAGGAAGCGAACGGACGAGCATAAATATCTGCGAGGATGAGCACGGCCCCGATAGCTTCGAGTGCCGGCCGATAAAGTATCGACGAGTGGCTGAAGGCGCAGCGCCGAAGAATGCCCGATAATATATTATTATTGCGCGGGCGCGGGTCAATAATCGTGCACGTTGCCTGGCGACGACTCGGCTCCTGCTCCAGCATCCGGAGTTTCTTCTTCTGCGACTACTCCTGCAGCCGGCGGCTCGCAGAACTCGGGCAGCCTCCGTCGCATCCTGATCGGACCGGTTCCATCTAATCCGGCCAACGAACGCCCAGCTTCTCCTAAGGTGAGCCCGCTCGTCCACGCCTCGCGGAGATCCGCAGTGTTCGCGACGCATCCGCGACCGCAGCCGACTTCGTCCGAAATTTCCAATAATTTCGTACGCGTTGATAAAAATGCGCGAGGCCTCGCGTTGTCGCGATGGGACACGATTCCTTTGCGATTCGATTTTTAAGTGAAAAATCTTCGGAACGAAATTTCTTGAACCAATTCTGACGCGCGAGCCTCTATGAAAATAAGAGGCAATAAATTTATGATAACTTCAACTAATGATATAATTATAAAAATTGTGTTATGTTAATTTCAATAAATATTTTAATTTTTATTATTTAAACAAAATTTTTACACCACTAAATTATATAATATTATATTAATTACCCTTACAATTATCATACTAATTTTTTAATTATTTTATTAATCAAAAATCTATATATTATTATACATATAACCTTTATCTTCGCAATTAGAGGAATTATGATTATATTTTTATATTTTACAAGATTCATTGATAATTTTCATTGTAAAGATTATAAACTTAATCAAAGCTATATATTTATTTAATTTTAACGACTTTTATAATCATAATATTTTTTTAATAAATTATACAGATAATTATAAAATTATTAAAATTTATATTTTTCCTTCATCCCTTTTAACATTTACAATAATAATAATAATAATATTCATTTGTGCACTGCGTGTTAAAATTCAGAGCAAACTATCACAGTTGCGAACCGAAGCTGAAGACAAAAAGAATAATAACGTTAACAAAAGAATAACAATGCAAACGTAACGCTGTCTATTCGTGCGAACCGAAATTGCTTTCTTGCCATAACCCAATAACCGCGGAAGGTGCCCCGGCGAACGGCGTCTCGCGCCGCGCCGCTCGCAGTCGCGTTCGCTCGGACCTCGGCGACAGAGGTCGCGCGATCTGCGCCCGGGTCAATCGCAGCACGGATTCGCGATAATTACCGCGTCCAGTGTCGGTCTGACTCGGGTCTGACCGGATCCGCGGCGTCGTCGATCGCGAAGAGACTTAGTACACATTCGTTCCGAGTCGGAGTCATTTTTTCGAACGGATTTTTCACGTCGCCGGTGGTCGGGTCATTGTTGTCCGTTTTCGCAGTCCTTTTGAATGGTCCGGCGAGCATGCGGTGGAAAATTCGAGGTGGAAACGGCGACCAGGCTTGCGCCGATACGAGGAGGGGGAGCGGCGAACGGGGTGAACGAAGGGAACATCAGGGAGCGCGGATTGCCTTTGAAAAGAAGCTCGAAGATTTCTGCGGATTTCGATTCGACGATGTCAACAGCTTCGATAAGATCGCCGCGCTTTTATACCGACCCACCGACGCTGCGAGCTTGGGCGTCGTTCGAGCGCTTTTTGGTAAGTCGTTGACAATATCGAGATCACTGAGGTGGAGCATTGTTTTGAAAATGAACGGGGCATTGTAAATTTAATTAGTATATTGACAAAAAATATAAATTTGCAGACGTTGGCCATTTCACTTGGAGTCAATTAGATCAGAGTTAGGTCAGATTTAGGTCAAAGTTAGGTCAGAGTTAGATCAAAGCTAGGTCAGAATTAAGTCAAAATTAGGTCTGAGTTAAGTTAATATTAAGCTAAAATTAAGTCGGATTTAGGTCAGTTTTAGGTGTAAGTTAGGCCAAAGAGTTAGGTCAAAGTTAGATCAAAGTTAGGTCAGAATTAAATCAAAGTTAGGCCAGATTTAAGTTAGTATTAAGCTAGAATAAAATCGGATTTAGGTCAGTGTTAGGTATAAGTTAGGCCAAAGTTAGGTCAAAGTTAGTTTACGTTCACTCGAAGCACAAAAAGGAAGAAAAAGTTATCTAAAGCACATACGAATGTGTAAAAATATTTTGCGCAATTAAAAACAAACAATTCTTGGTACTATTAGACTTGTAATGTAACATAACCTTACGATACTCAGCCGACGATGAATCTCGATTTCAGTCTGTCATCGAAATTGAGATCTCGTGCAGATAAATTCGTATCTGCCGACGACATAGAAATTCCCGAAACATCCACAGCGAATTGTTTCCAGGATTCTGCATGGTGTTCGATGTGGTGGAGGAGAGGGGCCTGGCAGACGTGGACATTAAATGGGGCGACCCCATGGAGTGTCATTTCCCATTGATCCACGGGATGAAGCCACCGCCGTTGCCGTGGGTCATAGTGATTTACGCGATCATGTGGACGGGCGCGTTCGGCATAATGCTCGGCTGGCACTTCAAGCTCGCCTGCGCCAGCTTCGTGTTGCCGTATTGGTACATCTTTCTGCTGAGCAAGAGCCAGTGGAACAACCACACGTATCTGTACGGGATCGTCGGCACTCTCCTCTGGGGTACGGAGGCTAATAAGTTCTTGTGAGTTTGAAAGGAAATGTCTCATCCGAATGGGAATACCGGTCCGTGATCGGAGACGTGAGTGAGGATTGTAAATATTAACTTAACCGGTATCGAGCCATCGAAATTTATCCGTCGTCGAAATCGAACGCTCTTTACGAAAACGAAAAATATTTCATTCGAAATATAATATACAGCCGTGGAGAACTGCGAGAAAAATTGCAGGAGAAATGATACAAAATCTCCCGAAAATCTTGCAAGTCCTTGGCTGAGGCGGTTCTCCGGGTGATTTCAAGAAACTTTTTCCTCAGCGATAATCGCCTACGAGGCTCCGTTGCCGAGATATCGACGGAAAAGTAGGGCCAATCGGCGGGCCGGAACGACGGTCGAGTAGGCGGCGCGTGGGCAGGACGCCGGCGGTGCTCGATCGCCGATTGGTTCCGCGGTTTTCTTTAATAACTCGTTAACAGAGCGTTATCCGACATTTTCGTAAAGGAAAAAGTTCCTCGAAATCGCCTCGGGAATCGAATTCTTCGAGGTCTTGCAACATATTTGAGTATTCTGTGTCCGGACACCGTTTATGGAAGAACAACATTCCTAAAATTAGGACGAACGATCTTTTCGCAGTGCTCTGGACGCGAGAAAAACGAGCACGGGGCAGGGAAAGGCCATGGTGCCTCTGTGGAATTATTTCATACTGAGGTTTCAGTTCTTTGCATTGTACTTTCTGGCCGGATTGAAGAAATCCAGCACCGAATGGCTGTCGGGATACGCCATGTCCAATTTGTCGTCACACTGGGTCTTCAGTCCGTTCAAGTAAGTGTATGTACTGAAAAATCATTTTATTAATTGCCCTATTTATTCGCTAATTTTTTAAAGTAATTGCAGTGCGATCAATGTATTTTTTTCTTTTGTACATTGGAGTACATTAATTGAGAAATTACGATATATTTTATTTCTACAATACAACATTTAAAAATATATAATATATTCAATGTAATTGTTATGATGTTCCAGGCTATTGCTGACGACCGAGCAGACTGATTTCTTCATAGTTCACTGGTTCGGTTGTATTTTTGACTTAACCGTCGGTTTTTGGATACTATACGAAAAGACTCGTGTTCCCGCCATGATCCTCTGCACGACTTTTCATTTAATGAACTCCAGACTGTTCAGTATAGGTACTTACAATTCAGTTGTAAACAGTTTGTAACAAGTTATAACGATTTGTAACAATTAGAAATAATTTTTAACAATTTATAACAATTTATAACGATTTGTAACGATTTGTAACATTTTTTAGCAATTTATAACGATTTGTAACAATTTATAACGATTTGTAACAATTTATAACAATTTGCAATAATTGATAACAATTTGTAACAATTTGTAACGATTTATAACAATTTATAACGATTTTTAACAATTTATAACAATTGGTAACAATTTGTAACGATTTGTAAGGCTTTGTAACAATTTTTAACAATTTTTAACAGTTTTTAACAATTTTTAACAGTTTTTAACAATTTATAACAATTGGTAACAATTTATAACAATTGGCAACAATTTGTAATAATTAGTAAGGCAATTTCTAACAATTTATACAATTTATAATAATTTATAGAACTCGTAAAAAAATTCCAAAAGTCATGTTTTACAATTCAACAGATATCCACTTTTCTTTGCAGGCATGTTTCCCTACGTCTGCCTGGCAACGATGCCACTCTTCTGCAGCGCGGACTGGCCACGAAAATGCATTTCGTGGTTCAAGTGCAATTGCACGTCGATTATTGTCGACAGTCGAACTATCGAAGCATGCGATGCGTCTCCAGCAAATCGGTCCGAGAACGATCGCGCGGAAGAGTACGAAGATACTCCGAGGCTGGAAACGAAGTTCATCGCGCGTCGCAAAGACGACCTTGAGACAGATAAGGGAACAGAGGGAGCAATTAAAGAGCAACGAGATAGCGCGCGAGAACACGATGACGGAAATAACAGAACGGTTTGCAGGCGCACGAGAGAAGTCGAGTCGAGACCTAGAGGTGCGACGAAGAGGCAAAAATTTGTTGTATCTCTCTTACTCTTTCACGTGGCCTTGCAATTTTTCCTTCCGTACTCTCATTTCATCACCAAGGTATCGATATCACGTCGATAGAAGAATTAACTTAACGAACCACTGCTTTACGACCGTTTCGTACCATTTATCTCCAGGGTGTTCCGAAAATTTTGTAAGACCTTCGACGGGGTGCGATTCCTCGGGCGATTTGGAACAATTTTTTCCTTGGCGAAAATTTTCTACGACGCTCCGTTAACGGGTTATCGAGGTTATAACGCGGACCAATCGGAGAGCGAGCATAGCCGGCGTCACGCCCGCGCGGTCGCTGCCGCGCCGAGCCTGCCGTAGCGCCGCCTACTCGTCCGCTGTACCCGCACGCTGATTGGTCCGAGTTTTTCCTTAATATCTCGTCAACGAAGCCACGGAGAGGATTTTCGCAAAAGACAAAGTTGCTTCTAATTACCTCAGCAATCGCCCATTTTATTTTCGGAACGCACTGCATAAATTAATAAAAATATTCTGCTCGATCATTGACAAACTATTTCAGGGTTATAATAATTGGGTACCAGGTATGTACGGCTACTCGTGGGACATGATGGTCCACGTTTGGGACACTGTACTGGTCGTGATCAGAGTCCACGACAACGAGAGTAACGAGGATCGTTACTTGGATCCGAAGGTGTGGGTGCAAACCGACCGGTGGGAGAAACACGCTGACATGGCTTTGCAATACGCCTTTTGCATTAGGGTACAAGTCCCATTTATCTCTGTTAAAAATTCTACAAAATTCTGATTTCGTTTGTGGTAAAAATGCAGTCCATTGGCAGTTGTTGTTGTTCCATTTGTAGGACAATTTAATGGAACAAGAGAAACATTATAAGAGGCAGGAGAAATTGCCACCTCTGTCGACGAACTTGAGCATCTACCTAGACGTATGGTGTTCTTTAAACTGGAGATTCCAGCAGAGAATATTCGATCCGAATGTCGACTTGCTGACCGTCGACTGGCACCCTCTCAAGCCTGTTTCATTTCTGATGCCACTTCTGACACAATACAACTCGTACAGGTACGTCGCTCTCTGGTAATTAACTCGATAAATATTAAATTTATTGGTAATATTAATTTGCTGTTCAGGTACAAGCTGGAAGAAATTCAGCAGCACGTTTCCACGTGGTCCAACGACACCGACGTTATCTTCGTCGCCGATTTCCCGGGCATGCATTTGGATAACTATATCGCGAAAAACTTCTCCAACGTCAGCTTGACGGTACTCGAAGGCGAAGTGACGTACAGCGACGAAAAGCTGTCGGAAGGTGTCACGTTGTCGAAAGAATCGTCGATCCCCATAAAGACAGGACAATTTCATAGAGTAAAGACGACCAGTGCTTTTCCTGCCTGCTACATGTACACGTACAACAATCGAAACAAGCGATCAGAAACAGACAGGTATTTGTGCAATTAAATTGAATGGAATTAATTGATTGTTTTTAGCAGTTAATTTCGTGCTTGCTTCTAATTGATAGTGTGAATTGAAATAATTGAATTTGAAAATAATATGAATTGAAATAATTGAATTTGAAAATAATATGAATTGAAATAATTGAATTTGAAAATTGTATGAATTGAAACAATTGAAGTTGAAAATAATACGAATTTAAATAATTGAACTGGAAAATAATGTGAATTAAAAGAATTGAATTTGAAAATAATATGAATTGAAATAATTGAATTTGAAAATAATATAAATTTAAATAATTGAATTTGAAAATTGTATGAATTGAAACAATTGAAGTTGAAAATAATACGAATTTAAATAATTGAACTGGAAAATAATGTGAATTAAAAGAATTGAATTTGAAAATAATATGAATTGAAATAATTGAATTTGAAAATAATATAAATTTAAATAATTGAATTTGAAAATTGTATGAATTGAAACAATTGAAGTTGAAAATAATACGAATTTAAATAATTGAACTGGAAAATAATGTGAATTAAAAGAATTGAATTTGAAAATAATATGAATTGAAATAATTGAATTTGAAAATAATATAAATTTAAATAATTGAATTTGAAAATTGTATGAATTGAAACAATTGAAGTTGAAAATAATACGAATTTAAATAATTGAACTGGAAAATAATGTGAATTAAAAGAATTGAATTTGAAAATAATATGAATTGAAATAATTGAATTTGAAAATAATATAAATTTAAATAATTGAATTTGAAAATTGTATGAATTGAAACAATTGAAGTTGAAAATAATACGAATTTAAATAATTGAACTGGAAAATAATGTGAATTAAAAGAATTGAATTTGAAAATAATATGAATTGAAATAATTGAATTTGAAAATAATATAAATTTAAATAATTGAATTTGAAAAT